AGAGCCTATATAAAAGGATTGGTTTGATGGTACAGAAGCGGCATGCAGGCGTAGTACATACATTTTGAATAATATATCAAATGTATGGGCTATCTGAAAGTAATTTTAAGGCATGTTGTGTCCGAGCCGAGGGAGCTTCCCACTTGCAATGAGGACCTGACACAATAAAATAAAATAAACTCATTGATGAAGGGTTAGGAAAAACCAACTAGAAGCTAGTGAAACAGAGTGCTATTGTCCTGTATAAACCAGGCTTTACACTGAACAAAAAAAGGCCCCACCATAATAAACATTTCTAAGCATGACTGGAATTTGCAGCTACCTACATGGACAACCTTGTTTCTTCCAGAGAAACCTGACAATATAACTATGACAAATATTGTGGTTTTGGTCACAGTTTTTCAGTGAGCTGTCCATATCGCATGTAGCTGTTCTTACAGGACAGTTTTCTTTAACACACTTTAAAAGGATTTAAAGCATCTTCTGGATATACCTCAACCATAACGTTATCAGAAATGTGTGGAATATTCTTAAAATCTTGATCTGAAATAGAAAATCCAACAGTTTACAAACTATTTATATGCTTCTACAAAGATGTAAATCATCTCTTGGTTTGGGAAAAAAAATGACAGATTAAAACTTGGAAATCCCAGTTATTCATTGAAGCTATTTTCTCTATTACTATCCCATTCCTGTAAAAATAAATGTGCAAATGTGTTTTTCAAAAATCCAATAATGATATGATTTTTATGTCCACAAATGCAAGTAATTATCAGAGTCATGAATACCAATTTCGTGCCTGTAACCAACAGCTGTTTGAATTATACAGCAAGGAAAATATATGTGAACACCCTGCTATTTTGCAAGTTCTCCCACTTAGAAATCAGGGAGGAGTCTGAAATTGTCATCACAGGTGCATGTCAACTGTGACAGAACTCTAAAACAAAAATTAAAAAAAAATCTAGAAATCTTATCTAATTTTTTAAAAGTATTTATTTGCATGATACAGCTGCAAATACGTATTTGAACACCTGTAAAAATCAAAGTTAATATTTGGTACAGTAGGCTTTGTTTGCAGTTACAGAGGTCAAACATTTCCTGTAGATTTTTACCAGGTTTGCTCACACTGTAGGAGGTATTTTGGCTCACTCATCCACACAAATATACCCCATTTACACTCCTCTAGAAAAAACGATCCATGCCGAGACCGCTCCGAGCTCGGATCAGTTAACCAGGCCGAGCTCGGTTCTGACGATCGTTTACACATCACGCTATCTCAGTTCCTCGACTCCCCGCCTCCTAATGACGATCTGCGGTATTACTGCCAGTATTGAAGGAGGAAATCAAGCAGTTGGTGGCGGTAATGCACCAAAGGTTGTTTGCCAACCGCCATAAAACACAAGAAGAAGAAGACAAAGAAGGAGGGAATCAAGCAAATCAAAATGGCGGCGCCCATCACATTCAGAAAGTTATGCTTGATTATTATTGCTGTACTTCGGTGTTTGCGGAGGGACAGGCGAAGACCGCAACCTTTCGTGGATGTTCATAGTTGTTGTTCTTCTTCTGTTTTGGGTTGGTTGGCAAGCAACTTCCGGAGGGGCATTACTGCCAACTACTGAAATGGAGTGTGAATCGGGATGTGCAGCCAGACGGAGATGACGCGTTCTGCTCATGCGCTCTTGTTATCAGAGAACCGAGCCGAGCCCACCTCTGGAACTGGTCTGCAGTTAGCGCGGTTCGGTTGTGTCTAGCTCGGTTCAGTTCAGTTTGCTTTCCATTTACACACGATGAGTTATCTAAGTTACTGAGCTCGGACCGGTCTCTGCACGGTTTTACAAGGGTAGTGTAAATGGGGTAATATTCTCTAGATCAGTCGGGTTAAGAAACACAGAGTTTGAGCTCCCTCCAAAGATTTTATTGGGTTTAGGAGTGGAGACTGGCTAGGCCACACCAGAACCTTGCTATGCTTCTTCCAGAGCCACTCCTTGGTTATCCTGGCTGGGTGCTTCGGGTCATTGTCATGTTGGAAGACCCAGCCTCGACCCATATTCAATGCTCTGACTGAGGAAAGGAGGTTGTTCCCCAAAATCTCACAATACATGGCCGCCACCATCATCTCCTTAATACAGGGCAGTCGCCTTGTCTCATGTGCAGAAAAACACCCCAAAGCATGATGCTGCCACCCCCATGCTTCAGTAGGGATGCTGTTTTTGGGATGGTGCTCATCATTCTTCTTCCTCCAAACACGGTCACTGGAATTATGACCAAACAGTTCTATTTTGGTCTCATCTGACCACATGACTCCCATGACTCCTGTGGATCATCCAAATGACAGGCCTTGACGTGCTGGTTTAAGCAGGGGAACCCTCCATGCCATGCATGATTTCAAACCATGACATCTTAGTGTATTACCAACAGTAACCTTGGAAACGGTGGTCCAAGCTCTTTTCAGGTCATTGATCAGCTCCTCCCATGTCGTTCTAGGCTGATTTCTCACCTTTCCTAGGATAATTTAGACCCCATGAGGTGAGATCTTGCAATAATCTCAAACATTTGTATCTAATTTAGGATAATAAATGGAGTGGAGGTGGACATTTTGAAGGCAAACTAACAGGTCTTGGAGGGTCAGAATTCTAGCTGATAGACGTGTGTTCAAATACTTACTTGCAGCTATATCATACAAATAAATAGTAAAAAAAAAAACAATCATATGTTGTGGTTTCTGCTTTTTTTTATGTTTTAGATTATGTCTCTCCCTGTGGACATGCCTACGATGACCATTTCAGACCCCTCCATGATTTCTAAGTGGGAGAACATGCAAAATAGCAGGGTGTTCAAATACTTATTTTCCTCAATGTATCTTGTTGCTTTACATGGATATACTGTAGAAAAATATTAAGCAACTAGAAGAAAGGATTGATCCAGTCTGATAGAAAAACAGTTCAGTGCCGGTTGTGTAAATAATTAGACTTTTCAGAAGTTGGAGTAAAGAAGTTACAGAACAAACAGAGATTGAAGGCTATTACAGTACGTGTCTCGTAGAGGCTTTGCCATCTCTTGATAGAGTTTGTGGATATGCATGAAGCTGGATGATTTTATGTTCATGTTGGGAACCTAGAGGTCCCATTGGTACATTGTTTAAATAGTTCTAAGTTTATGGAACTAATTAAATTTTAGTGATTTGGAAATAAAGCAATGAGTGTAGTGGGAGCAAAATAATCAGTTTGGTTTCAATTTATTTCAAACAAAATGTACTACATAAATACAGCTTTTAAAAATGGTTTTCCTTTCCAGCCTTCCAATAAATAAACATATTTCTGCATAAAGTCCCTAATAGCTGTAATAGGTTGTAAGCTTCTCAAAGTATAATAACTGTGGGTAAAAAAACCCATTGATTTATACTATTTAATCAAAGGTTTTGAAATAGAAAAGCAACATTTTCAACGCTGCTAAAGCATTTAAAGTATTGTTTATAAGTTATAGGAACACAATTCCAAATGCCACTGAAATTCTACACCCTATTCTCTTTGAGGTCTTTTTGGATTACTACAATCATTAATATTTGCTAAATGCCAGAATGCTGAGTTGAAAAAATTGTCTTTAGGAAATATTTTTTGAGAGTTCCTTGCTAATGAAAAAAAGAAACCCGGAATTTTAGAACTGTAATTTACAGTCATATGTTTACGTTACTGTTTTTCAACACAATGTTTTTTTTTTTTTTATCACTGCTGCTTACCTAATCAAGGCTGCATTTAAAAAAAAATTTAATTTGTCTGTTAACAAAGTTTCTTTTGTTTACACCTGTTTCTACAAAATAAATCTGTCTCTCTAAGTCTCTCAAATTTCTTAAAGCATAGAAACATGAAGGCGTTGATGCAGGAAGCCATATTTACCCAAAAGCAAAATACCATCCCCACTTTGAAGTATGGGAGTGGCAGAATTATGTTTTTATGTTTAGTGAGGGATTTTGTTATGTTTTTTTTTTTTTTTTCCTGTAGGTAAGACAAAATGGACACCAGCAAACATAAATAGCTCAAAGATATGTCTAAATATTTAAGGGATACTTCAAGAAACTAAGAAGAAAGTGGAAGTTTTAGAAACAAATGGGTCTTCCAAATGGACGAAAGCTTTTTATCATGCCACCAAATTAGTTACCGAGCTAATTTAAAGGCAAAAAACTAAAGAAATGTATGCAAACTTCTGGATTTAAAGTAAAAGACAAATGTTCTCATTATTCTGGTGTTCTACTAATCTGAAGTTAGCCTGATTCAAAGTCACATTGTTAAAAGAAAAGGTAATGCGTCTTCTTCTGCTGTTCAAATACCTGAATGCATCTGTGTTTATTTCCCTATGCTGAGACTGAAGAGAAAAAGTTTAAAGACAAGAAAAGCTGCATTTCTTGTTGTGAGGGAAACATGAAGCAGCCTTGCTAACAATGTGTGGCGACAGCTGTTCAGTGCAGTAAACATCCAGCCACTTTATGTGGTATCTCATTAACAGGACTTTAAATAGAAGGACAAGAAATTATTTATTTTATACTTTAGTCATTGTACATTCCAGTGAAATTCATCCTCTGCTTTTATCCATCCTTTTAGAGAGCGGTGGGTTTTTGCAGCACCAGGGAGGCATTGTGGGTTTAAGGGTCTTATTAAGAGACCTAAAGCTTTAGTCTGTGTTTGGAAACTGTGGATCTAGGGGCCTCTTCAGGATGCAAGCTTCCTGCTCTCAGACTACAAGGCTACCACTCCCCTTTATCGAAGGTTTTTCAATTATTTAGTGTTTCATAAAAAAAGAGACACGTGATCGTCTGTTATGCTTTTTTTGCCCAGACAGCTGCAGATTATCAAAGTGTTGGACAGTATATATTTTTTTTTGTTTCGTTTTGTTAACGACGTGACTCTCCTCACATACTGGTGTTTTTTTTAAACACATGCAACAAGATAACAGTGATGTTACAGATCAGAGCACGTGGGCATACCCTTCCCTGCTTTGCATGCGAGACGGCTGTTGGCCTTTTCATTTTCCCCGAAGCCTGCAGGACCGAGTGGCGGGTTTCCCATTCTCTTCGTTCCTTGGTGCTTTTTCCTTTCATTTCTGTGTGCCACTTTTCCTCTGAGCGTAACAAAACACCAGAGCGTCTGGTCCTAGCTCTGCTCATTATCACATCTGCCTGCGTCTCTACGTCGTGTGTCTCTCAGCTGTCACTTACCAGCCCCAGTCTTTGTTTGCTGCATGGCAAAATAGGTCGGATTCGTGTGTGTGTGACATCCGCGAACACCCTTTGAGTACACGTCTCAGGTGTCGGTACATTGCACCTGTTTATGTTTAGTGTGCCGGGGTACTCTGAGTGCAAATCTAATTTTGCAATCCCTCCCAGTCTCTGGTGTGTTTGCACACACGTACACTCTCACACGTACAGGTAAGCTGGAACAAATGGAAGTCTTGTCGTCCCGTTGGTGTCTAATCTTGTGATTATTATGGTGATAGTGCAGCATTTGCTCTGCACTTCTGAACACGTTTCCAGAGGGCTTTACCTAAAACAGATGCAAAACACATGGTTAAGTCTGTCTTCCGCTGTGATGTGTTGTGCACCATGGTTTGATCAATTTTTTCTCTTTCACAGGTTGTGATTTTATCAGTAAAACGAGCCACGGGAACCTTCTCTTTGCTCGGATGGTGAATATTTCTACCTCTTTTATTTGATCACTTTGCACCAAAAGGAACAGAATTTGTGTTTTGCTGATTTTGAAACCCTGTTTGTCCTGAAGTCAAGGGCGTAGGTTTGATTTGAACTTTGGTAGGGACACTATTGGTCGGGTGTCATTGGTGCTATGCAATATGCCCTTTTTTATGTTCGATGTGAGCATCCGTACTGATAAGAGGAATTCATTGTTAAAAGAGAAAAGCATCATTTTGCTACATTAATAAAAATTGTATAAGCACTACTGTACACTCATTAGATGCTGTTTATCAATGTTTGAAGCATCACCGGCTATGATGAATGTGGAATTAGGACCGTTTTCCACTTTGAAAACGGTTTCATTTGAACGACTAAGAGAGAAGGTAAATACAGTATTTTCTTTTGAAGATATAGAATAGTGCAGAGTTAAACCCCACTCAAATATTTGTACCTATTCTCTCTCTGTATCAAGCAAAAATAATACATTCATTAAAATATTAACTTCACTATAAAAGTTGAACATCTGGGCTGTAGTTACTCTGTGTAGCCCATTTCAAGTATTTCATCTGGGGCTGAAAAAAATGAACCATATTAATTGATTATTTCAATAATCGTCAACTAATTTAGTATGTAATTCATCATTAACTGGGGTATAGAGACTTTAAAACATACAGTAATATAAATGTAAAATGTGTCTTTCCCCACAGAGCAACCCACTTAGATCAGTTATTATATCAAAATTGTAAAAATAAAAACAAAAAAAATGAAAACAGTAATATCAACTTAATATCGGTAAAAAGGAAACCCTTACATTGTCTTTTTTAGTTGGCTGTGGCTAAGAATCAGAAATGTTGATGGCTTACAGCCTTTATTTGCCCATTTTTCCAGCAGTCTTCAGAACTCCTGGCTGACTCAGAATATTTCGTTTAATAAAAGAAAAAAAAAGGTTTTTGTTTTTTAGTGTACATGATATTCATTTTTTTTATTGGGACTAATTTTGTAGCCTAATATTAATTGTAGCAACCGCTGCATTCTAGTGTGAATAAATTTTCAATGTTGTGCTCCAAGCACACGCGGACTAGAAAACAGCCAATCAGAGAGAGAGAAGGCGGAACTTAAGGCAGAACAACCAATGAGAGTGGAGTTAAACAGCGCAGCACAGTTCCATGGGCTGCTACATGAAAGGGACAGGAGAGACCAGGCAGAGGAGCTGCGAGGGGAAAAGAAGCCACAGCTGCAACAACTACTGCTGTAAATTATAAACATGTTGCTCACATCCAATTATTGGTAGGGACAATTAGGTCGGTTCAAAATTTTGGTAGGGACATATCCCTATGGTCCCTATGCAAACCTACGCCCATGCCTGAAGTGATGCCACATCTGCAATGGAAATGCATTTATGGGCAAGGTAGCTGTCAGGGTTTGGTTGAGGTCTGAGGACCCAAATGCAGAGGCAGAGAGGCTGAAGAGATTTCTTGCAATTTAATGGGGAAAAAACAGTAAACAAAGACAGGAATCCAAAAAACCAACTAATAATGTAAACCCAACCAGAACCATGCAGATATCAGGGGAAAATAATCACGAGGAGCCATGGAGAGACGAGGTAGGAAGAAAACAGCATTGAGATCCAGCAACAAAAAGGAACCGACAAAGAGTGACAGCAGAGGGAGAGGATATGTAGCTGACTGAGACAAAGGCAGGGTTAACGAGCGGATAAGGAGCAGGTGTGAGAGGAGATAATGAGTGAACCAAGGGGAAATGAAAACAGACAAGAGGGCAACAACAGAAAAACCTGAGAACTAACATAAATCTACAAACTAAAACAAAACAGGAATTAAACAAATAAAAGTAGAAAACAAGGAGCAAAGTAAAGCACAACATAACCAAAACCATGACAGTGGCATCAATGAGTATGATGGTTGCATCTTAAGATTTGGTTTGTAGAGGGATCGACCTTACTGGAAGTGATAGGCCTCTCATCATCGAAGGCAGTCATGACGCAGACATTTTGCCACTCCTAGAGACTACATCATCCCCAATGCAGGGTTTAACAGAAACACATTAGAGGTACTAGGACCAATGATTTACAAGTTGGGAGTAGCACAGCAGAGTGAGGACAAGCTGGGAACCAGCATATGGGGAAACCGTACCAAGCTGTTGTGGTTGTGCATCATTCTCTGAAGCACAAAAAAGAAAAAAAAAGACAAATAAATAAATAAATGGTTGAATTTCCAAAATGTCTGGTTTGGACAAAGTAACCGGTCCAGTTAAAAAAAAGCCAAACAAACCAGTAGCAGATTGAGCCCTTTGGTATTGGCAGAGACAATCCAACATGTCTGTCATCAGCGCAACCCACATCCTGCTCACTGCATATCAGCCAATAAATGCCTTTTCTCTCCAAAGGAAGTGCTGTTTAAAGAGAAACAAACTGGCTCTCTAATAGCATAATAAGAAGCATTGTTACCACAAACCAATAATCAGAGCAACAACGTTCTTACCTTTTGTGCTTTTTTAATTTCATTTTTTATCTTACTATTGATTTTTCCCATTAAAATAATACATAACAGGTCTCATACTTAATCTTGATGTTCAGCACCTATAGATGATATACAATGCAGGCAGTTTTTCATACTTTGAAAGTATTTTATCTGAATTGTTTTCATTCATCAATGTAAAAGCTGAAGGATAAAAAAAAAAACATGCCATTGTGATAATATGAAACTGAAAATATGTTGTTTTTTTTCGATTTGTATCCAACTTAAAAAAAAAAAAGAAAAAAAAAAGATAATTGTAGAAGAACACAGGAGCTGCGCAAAATATTAGGTGCTGATCATTTAGATTTCTGTGAAAAAAAACGGAGCAAACCAGATATGGCTAGATATGTTTTTTTTTTATATAATTATTCAAAATTTTTAACTTAAGAAAAAAATGTTAAGAAAATGCCTCTGCAATAGAGCATTTAACAGTGAAATAATAAAGACGATGTAATTGTAACATTAGTAGTTAAAGCCTCATATTGCAGCCTGTTTATTTTATATAGGGTGACGAGTGGTAATATAATAAATGAATAATTCTTTAGATGTCATTAATTTATTAAAACTGGAAATAAATACAATATATTTTTAGATAGGTTATTAATTATGTGAACCTCACTTAAATATATAGATTTTATTTTAAGAAGCAAATATACAGTTGTGCTTGAATGTTTGTACAGTCTCCTGTTAAAGAAAATGATAAATTCACACTAGTAATTCAAATACAACACAAAACCAAAAAAAAACATTTTTACAAAATGATAGGTTAGTCAAATAAAATACTTATTTTGAATCTTTGTTTAAAAAAAATTCCAACTAAAAAAATGCCCCTTGTTATATATATATATATATATTCAAAATTAATGTCATGAATTCCATTTTTTTTTTTGGTCATTTTAAAATTTAAATTCATTTATTATTAATTAATCAGTTTCAGTTTATTTTACTGGCAGCTGTATTTTTTCTGTCTTTAATGGAAGGGGTTTTAAACTTTCAAGCACAAACTGCAAGAGGCGCGACTAGATGCATCTACATCGAAACCCTGACATCTCATTCGCCATTTCTCCCTGAGCAAGATAACACGACTTCTACCTGGTTTTTCTTTCACTCTAATGTCAACATTTTCTCTAGAAAAGTTGCAAATAGACGTTTCAACGGGTTGCCATTCATTTACAGCACAGTGGTTGAGCAATTCCAAAGTTTTTCCACCTTTTCCAGTGATAATGACTTCTGAAATTAACCTAAATTAGAATGTATGAAATAAACATACAACAATAAAAATAAAATTTATTTCTAGATCTCATAAATTACTTATGAATAAAAAAATTATTACAAAATGTATTTATTTATTTATTGAATTATGGTACTCAAGTGGTGCTTATTTTATTTCATTCATTACTTCCTGATGGCCTTGCTTAATGGCTTACAGCCAAAACATCATGGTGACGTTCTACTTGTGGTTTATATTTGGTAAAATTCAATTTATAATTAATAGTTCATTTGCATCTGGAAATAGAAGAAGAAGCCGTATAGCATCCGATTGAGCTGGTATGAGATTTCCCACAATCAGCTCTGTAATAGGTCCGGGTGTGCCGGGGCGGATGGAACAGTTAATCATGACATTAACCTTTACAACCAAGTTTTAACCTTTATACTAATCATGTCATAAATCCCATATTCATAAAGCTTTTAGCTCTTTTTAAGTCTGAAGACGTGTCGAAGGATTTTTGAAGTACACTGCTGCTGTGAACGTGCCACTCAGCGTTGGGAAGTGTAGCATCAACTTAATAATGCATAAATTAAAAATATAACATTGATTTCAGGGCATTGGAAGTCAAAGTCAAGAACGAGATGCTCAGAGTGTTTATAAAAGCCCAACTTTAAAAGTTATTAAATTGAATGTGACTCTAATGCTGCAGTCTGTGAATCTCATTATAGTTTTTCCCCCCCCTTCCTCTCCTCAGCGTTTTCATGCTGCTTGTAATCTGGCTGCTCCGGCGATATCACTCCTTGGCTCAGGTAAATTTGCACTACACTGCACGCCGCCTCTCCCACAGTTCCTTTTTCTGTTTGCTCCATTTCCACTGGAAATCTGTTCAATTAGCCACGGTAAATCTTGGCGTAATTGAACCCAATTAAAATGCACAGATTAATGAATCGGGGGTGTTAATTGACTCACGGTCATTCTCTGATAGTGACTTTCTTTTTTTCCCTCTCTTCAAGCGAAGCTGTTTAAATAAACGTAATATTTATGGACCCCACCACCCCACCCCACTGCCCCTTCCCCACTCCTGATTCCTCTTGTAGCTGTAAGGATTTAGCTTTCATAAGGAGTTTGTTTGTGGCGTCGCTCTAAGCCTGCATCTCCAGAATATTATGGTGTTTCCTGCCGCCCGTCCACCAGGTCTGTCTGGTTTAGCAGCACAGGATGTTATCCTGGTAATCTGAAGTAAATGACAGTTTAGCGTGAGGCTCCGACAGAAACCCGCTGCAGAGAGCGACCTCGTGTCCTCCGCATCCCCCTCCCCCTCATCTCATTCCTTCTCCTCTTCTTATACAACATAAACCTTCTCCCTACTTGCATCCTCTCTGAAAAGGTTATCTGTCAGTCAATAGTCTTTAGTGCTCTCAAGGCCCTCCTGGACGCTTATTGTGTCGTCCCCCCCCCCACACCCTCCTTTCTGTAGCCTTGGCAGGGTCACTGCAAGACATGAATTGATAAAGGGCTCTGTGTGTGTGTGTGTGTGTGTGTGTGTGTGTGTGTGTGTGTGTGTGTGTGTGTGTGTGTGTGTGTGTGTGTGTCTGAGTGTGGGTCCATGCTTCTCTCTCTGTTTGCAGTCACAGATTATTGCCGCCGCTGCAGGAAAATTGTGCTGTGTACCCTGCCTCCACTCATGAAATTCTGTAGTCTACGGATTATTGATTTGTTTTACATAAAACGAACAATTGCAGAGAGAAAACAGGAGATGTGTCCACTGTGATAATTTGACTAAGTTGTCATGGAGATGGCATTTGGCAGCCATCCTGCTCAAGTATGAAGTATATACCTTATGTTGTGTTATCTAGTACCCTCCGTCCGTCCATTTCGTCCTCATTGACTGCTGCAGATGAAGACCATCCTCCTCCTGCAATGTTCAGTGAACATTGAGGATTCATTCATGTTGACACATTTAAAGCCAGACCACTCTAGAGGTCAGGATGCAGGATTGGGAGTGAATTGATCGTGAACCAATGTTCTTATAGAAATTGCGAGTTCTGAAAGAAGATGGACTGAGATGTCTGTCGATATGATTTTTTTTTAACAGTATTTGATTTCGATGTAAAATAAAAAAATAAGAAGGAAAGAATGGCGTGCCAAGCTGTCAGGGACATTAGAGATCATTGCAGCTGTAATTTGTCCTTCTTTTTATGCGAGCATAAATGCACTGAGGTGTTTTCGCTCAGGGTTTTACATTTTAAAATCCTTCTTCATGTCTTTCTCTTAAATTTTCACGCCGCAGAAGATGATTCTCAGCCTGACTGTAGCCGCCTTCTTCGACAGCGTAGCATATGTCATGGTGAGTTACTCTTGTCTGTTACACTAAAAGCAGACTGTGGGTGAGTCTTTTTTTATTTTTTTAATGCTTTCCCATGCTGCCTCTTACTTATTCTCCAGGGTGAAACCCATCCGGAGGGAACTCTCTGTGACTTCCAGGCCTGGTGGCTGACATACTTTGGTAAGACAGCGTTAAATTAATTGCTCACTAGCACTGTTTGTGCGAGTGGAGCAGCGATCTAACATACGGCTGATGCCGAGCTCATATATCACCATAGCAAATAATATTGCTTTGTCATTTCCTTTTATGGCTCCAGAGCAAAATGTCCCTAAACAAGTTGGGAGTTGTTTTCAGGCCATAGTGTTAGTTTATTAAGTAATAAACTGAGGGTTTCAGTTACAGACTTATTTAACTCCTTAATAATGTTTTGGGTATCTTTTAAAATGTTTCTAAAGGCTTAACTTAAACTAAATACTTTATAATATTACAGTTTTAAAAATTATAAATCTGATCTGCTTCCAAAGGTTGGAAGGTTTGTCATAAGCGGCCTGATTCTTGACACGTGCCTGTAGCTTGAGACAGTCCATCTAAAGTTCATTAAAGTATTTTGCTGCAGTATTTGAGCTTGATAGTTGTGAATTCCTTAAAGGCTGACATTGCCACCATATATTTTCTGCTAATCATGTCAGTACATGATTGAGTCAACCTTTTGAGGAAAAAAAAAATGCGAGAAAGGCCTTAAGAACAACAAAAAGGACTGTTTTGGACATAAACCAATGTTTAAAGGTATAGTACAGGATTTTCTTTTTACAGATGGATCATCTACATAAGTGGTCCTCCTAATTGTCAATCATTCTGGTGATGTGTTTACGTACTGTAAGGCTGTCCTTCACCTAACCTTATGCCAAGAAATACCTGGCTGCCAAGAATTGCCTCCCCTGTTTCACATTGATGAGAAAAAGGATTGAAATATAAACCCATTCTTAATGTTTACACATTCCTTATGCATTGTTGCCCTAAAATTCAGAGTTTTGGTGGAGAGATAAATTCGAATGAATAAATTTTTTGTGGGCTGCTCAGTGGCGCAGTGGGTAGCCTCCTTGCAGCAAGAAGGTACTGGGTTCGATTCCCGGCCCGGAGATCTTTCTGCATGGAATGCAGTTGCACTTTCTGAGCATGCATGGGTTCTCTCCGGGTACTCCGGCTTCCTCCCACTGACCAAAAAACATGACTGTTAGATTAATTGGCTTCTCTAGATTCTCCTTAGGTGTGAGTGTGTGTGTGAGTGGTTGTTTGTCCTGTTTGTTGTTCCTGTTTGATGGAGTGGCGACCTGTCCAGGGTGTACCCTTTCTCTCCTAGGGTGTACCCTGCCTTGTAACTGCTGGAGATAGGCACCAGTACTCCTTGTGACCCCACTTGGGATTAAGTGTGTTAGAAAATGTATGGATACATTTTTTGTATGGAGACACGTTTTAGTCCATGTGCTACAGTCAGTGTCCGATGAATATATTCTCTGCTCGGTAGATGGCACTTCCCGCTTTTGATATCAACACCACTCTATAATCATTCTGACAAAACCTTAAGAATATGTTTAAAATGTCCCTTTTTCGTTCATATTTCAGTCCGTTTTCTCATCAATGTGCGAGAGTTTAGGGCGATGTGCGCTCCTGCGACAGGGGAGGTAATTCTCGGCAGGCAGGAATTTCTCAGCATTTATCTGTCCACCAAAACTCTCCACCAAACATTAAGAATATGTCTAAAAGTTCCCTTTTCATTCAAATTTCATCCGTTTTCTCATCAGTGTGTGAGAGGGTAGGCAATTCTCGACAGGCAGGTATTTCTTGGCATAACACAATAGAGAGTCTGACATATTGAAAAAATTGCTGATCTTTTTTTGAAAAGTAAGCTTGTATGAGCAACGCAAAGAGCTACTTTTAAACAGAGCTTGTACGAGGAGAAATTGGCTCTTGCATCCGTATAATACCCGTTCCCTCTCGGGAGCGGGTACAGGGTTGTGTATGTGCATTGTTTTTTTAAAGTGGAGAGGGAGGGTCTTTTCAAAAATGAGTGAAAATCCTCCACTATACCTTTAAATTCTTCATACACATTGTAATAGATGAGCTGCTGCAGCTGCTTTGGTTTTCATAAGTCAGAGTTGGATAATGGCATCAATAAAACCATGGACTCTCTAGATGGATAATTCATGGCCCATTTTGTCACATAACAACCGTAAACTTTAATGCATTTTATTGCAATTTTATGGGATAGATCAACACAAAACTGTGCTAGATTTTGCACTGGAAGAAAAGTCATACATCATTTTATCAGATATTTTATGAAAAAACAAAAACAGGGTCAATTTCTTTCATACACAGAGAAAGAGAGTCAGTACTTTGTAGAATCACAGCATGCTCGCAGTCGTTTGTCTCGACCAGCTTTGAATACCTGGAGAGTGAAGCTTTGGTGAAATAGCTAAGCCGAAACGGTTATTGAACGGAGAGAACCTGTGGACATTAAAATTCAAGTCTTGCCTCGGCTGAATTGGATTCAAGTCTGAACTTTCATTTAGTCTTTTGCAGCATATAACAGATTTTCTTTCATATTGTCCCGTATTTGACTCCATCCAAACCCAGTATGTTTCCACCACAGATGATGATGTGTTCAGGGTAATTTGCAGTGTTCTTGTTTTTTGTTGTTGTTGCCCCATTTGGCATTTTGCATCTAGGCCAAAACATCTGTCTGAGCTGACCAGAGCAGCTTCTCTCACATTTTCTGTCGTCCTTGAAATGTGGCAAACTGTGAACTGGAAGCCATTGTTTTCATTACTCTTCCATAAAGGCCACATTTTTAGAGTGCATATAATCAGTTTTTCTTTTGACAGATTCTCCCATCTTAGTTGTGAACCTCTGCGACTTCTTTATTCATTTATGGTCGTTCATCAGTGAAAGTTTCTTCTCTTTCCTGGCATGTTTATTTCTAATGAGATGGACAGGCATGAATATCTCCAAATACTGAAACACAAGGTACTCAACAGCAAATTACACTACATCTAAATAAATCAAAACATAGAAGTTTAAGACATATCCAAGCATAGTTATTTTTTTGTTTTCAGCTGGTTAATGAGTCAGGCTATCTGCTCAGGTAGCCAGCCTGCAGACCACTGCTGAACAGACATGGAAATCAAGCTGTAGGTTTAAAATTGTGTTCTTGTAGAAAACAATGCATGGTCCTGGTTTAGTTTCCATGCCATGAATCTATGTTTATTTATTTATTTATTTTGTGATGCAACGTATCTGCAAACAATCATATTTTTTTTAAACATGGGAAAAAGATTAATAGAATGTTTTCAGACAGTGTGCAGCAACAGGAAGTTTTATATTTTCCACACAGGAGAAGAGATCTCTCATCACCTTTGCACTTTTTTTCCAGAAATCACAAAAGAAAAAAACTCAAAACGGTTTTAATTATTGCCATTAAAGTGTATTAGAACATGTAATGTGTGTGTGTTTAATGCCTATTGAAGAACTAATATATAACCTTTAACAAACCATATCGGCATGTTTACATTAAAAGACATTTGAGCATACAAATATAAATGAAACATAAAAAAAATTAAACCGCAAGACTATAAACATGCAGGCTCTACTTAAATGTTCGGCCTGTAGTTTGTAATTTCATTCACATAATCAGATGGAGCTTTTTAAACTTTTTGTCCTTTTAAATGGTTAAAATTTCAAAACCATTTTCTTAAAAATAAAAAAAATCACTATATTTAACTTGGAGGAATCGGTTAAACCTCATCTTCCTGCTGTGTTCTCTCCCTTGTGCCTGGAATGGCTTCACTGACGGTGAGTCAGACCCTGAAACGCCCTGTTTAAGGCATCTCTGCATTTCATCATCCTGCGTATGAGGAGGTGGCTACAATCCAATGCCTCAACAGAGAAGAACGGGATGTTGCTATGTAACTAAGAATCACCCGGAACCTGTCAGATTCTTTCTAACTGTGGTGCTGAATATCTTTTTCAGGAAGACTTCTGACATTTTTAGTTTTAAACCTTAATTGGCATAAAGCACCACATTCTGCTAACTCTGAATCAAACCCTGCAGTGGCTAATGAGGTGGTTCTGATCAGTTGGAGTCACCTTTATGTACGCAGAGGACCCTTCTCCTGAGGACAGGCAGGTGTGAGTAAACATCAACAAGTCTAGGAGGAGAAGCAAAGCTCGTATCAGCTTTTAACTCAGAGGACCTAATGTTATTAAATGTGTTTGGAATGATGGAATAAGGGAGGAGGAGCGCAGCAGCAGGACAGGTAGAGAGGCAGAGGTAAAGGAAAGGCTTCTGCTGCTTTCCTGTTACATAAGGCACATTTGCAATGACAGTAATTGTGACTTATTGTGATAATACGGCCTCTGGCTTACACATTGCTCATTTGAAATGCTCCTTAAACATTAGAGGAGTGTGGATGCTGTACGGTATATTTGTGTGTGTGTGCGTGCATAAATGTGTTTGCGTTCAAATAAACTGCATCAGGGCTAAATATGAAGGTAGGAAGAGATTCTGGTATTCAGTGCAGCCGTTTGTAACATGAAAACAAACTTCATTGTATCTAAACTGTTTTTTTTTTTATATAGCAGCAAACAGTAGGGTATCATTTTGAAGTTAAAAAGACTAAGTGGTTTAGAAGGTTATGTAAATAAAAATCTGATGGGAATGCCTGTTCCTGCTGAAGGAAGGCTGCCACTGCCATGCTCATGGTGGGGACGGCGTTTTGCATGTTCGCTGGGTGTTCTGCAGAGCTTGCATTCAGAGAAACAATCAAATATGCAGAAAATTTTTTAAAAGGGTTATAAGTAGTTTTGCAAGGTAAAGTATGCGTTCTTCCTCTCTATTGACCGTTTCTCTACCCCCCTCCTTGCACCACCCTCCCTCTTTAGCCTCTTCTCCCCTGTTATCTCCCCCTGCGTTTCCATAGTTCATCATTATCTCTCTGTGAGCTCCCGCCTCCCATCTATCACCCTAAGCTACAAGTTTCTCCCATATTACTGCAGAACAGGCCTTCATTTATCAAAAGCAGAGCGCATGCAGTGCCGTCACATGCAGGCATGTGTGCGCTTGGACACACGTCTGCAGGTGCACGGTGTGCAGCGGCGGTGAGCCGCCCTGAAATTTGACCTTGGTGTTTTTCTCTCTGCAGACTGGAGTGCCTTGGCTTGGGTTTGCCTCATTACTCTGAACCTGTATCTCAACCTGGTCAGGGAAATGGGCACCAACAAATATGAAATGTGAGTAATTTAGCCCATTGTCCCTTTTAAAAGAAAAAAAAATGAATTGCTTTAAAATTCTTTGATTAAAAAGACAAAAGAAGTTCAATGGAAAGTTGAATGAAGAAGCATTACAAAAACTACCGGTTATTATCCTAAAAAGATCCCCATTTCTGCTATCAGTCAGTGCGCTCCATGTCTCCTATTCTGCATATATTTGCCTGCTGTTTTGTTTAAAGTGTGCCTCTTTATGCTGGTGTTTTGTCCATGTGTTTGGTCCGCAGTAGCATGTGTCTCCCCATAGACGGGCTCTCCCTCTTCCCCCTCCTCCTCTTTTTTCTCTTTCAGCCAGCTGACACTCTAATTGAAATGGGAGTGAGTGTCAGCCGTTAAGTGTGTCCTAATGCGTGTGTGCGCGATGTGTGCCCACCCAGCTCCACGCTGTTTGGCTCCATGTTGCAGTCGCTTATACTCCCTTGAGTACTTTTCATGGCAAAGTGTGAATTTGCCTAAGTGTGTGTGTGTGGGTGGGCGTGTGTGTGTTTGTATTATTTCCTCCATCTTCATACTTGATGCCAAGCTTCGCTGGCAGAAGCACATAAAAAAAAACATAAAGGCAGAAAAAATGCACCACCTTCATTGTAAGTTATATCTTGTTTGTTTTCAGCTGGGGAATAATTTAGAGTGGATTCCCCCACTATGACCACCCATGGGAGGTTTCTGCATTGATTAGTAATAAGCCAGACTTTATAATGGTGATATAACTCATAATTAGATGGGTTTATGGGCAATCTGGAAGGGTGAACTAGAAGGCAAGAATCTGAAGAGTGATTCAACGCCACACGTGTCCAATCACACAGGAGTGAAGATGGTGATACAGGGGCTCCGTTTTAGGGATCCATCCATACATGCATACATCCATAAGAAGCCTGTGTTATGGGGCTCAGCTTTTCATGCATGCGCAATAACCCCTCCAGCCCCTTTAACCCAACCTTCCAACCGCGCTCTAGCTTTCTCACCCACAGTACCGCTCCACTCACTTGACGGCTCAGCTCGATGGTTTATGAATGAACAAATCGCCAGAGGAGACGGAGAACGGAGCCTTTATGATCTAAGAAGGATTGAAGCACATGCAAGAGAGAGAGCAGAGGGCTGGGCCGTGTGTGCACTGGTAGAGATGTGTACGCGTCTCTAAGAAAGTCGGAATCCAGGGAAAGCGAGCGTGTGATGAGGGAAGAAAGAGATAGCTGAAGATAGAGGAGTGGGAGAGAAAAGGTGGTGTGAGGCAGTGGGAAATGAGCGTTGTGAGGGCGGAGTGTCTGTGTGTATGTGTGGAAAGCTGAGCGCAGAGCTGTCCTGCTGTGCCTCATTAAGCCCATGTTGTGTGCAGCCCCGGACCTCGTCATCTCCCCCTCAAAGGCCCGACGAGGTGTTCGTGAAGTCGGGTTGTGGCGAGGAAGTGGCTCTCGACAATGATTTCCTGACAACCACATATCCCCCTCCCCCACGAGGTATTGCAGCCATGTGCTGGCAGTACAGATTTTCCCCCCATTTTCATACATCACGTCGCCTCTCCGTCTTTCTGTTTATTATTTCTTTTCTGTTTGCCTTTCTTTCTCCGAATGTTTCCCATTTCCTCCCACCGCTTCCACAGCCCTCTCATGTTCGTTCCAAACACAACCTCCATCTGGATTCCCTCCCGCCCACCGATGTGCTCTATTTAAACCCACCACCGTCACTTTCCTCCTCCGCCTGCCGAGCGCTCTGTGTGCTGTCAGTCAGAGGTAGGTGGAGGGCTTCCAGTGGAAAGCGTCTGGACCCTCTGTAGTAGAGTGACAAAACGTGCTTGTCTGTGTGGCACGCCACTGGGGGGGAATCGAAAGCGTGTCAGCCGTGTCACTACTGCTCGATTGACCGTACTCGGAGCAAGTCAGGGAAGGACTTCCACTCTATTGACCAGACGACGCTGTACGCTCTATAAAGTATCGACTCCCAGCACAGGCGCCAAAGACACTGGGCCACACACCTCATCTATCTCACACACGCACACTTACTTACATGGATGTCTTTAAAGTCCACCACTTTGCTTCAGTTATGAGTCTCTGCAGCCTATTTAACAGGTTCTCTTAAAATAAGAAAGGAATTCAAATCTTGTTGGGGGTTTTTTACACAAAAAAGGCTGCTTTGTTCACACATTTTAAAATGCTTTGTTCCATCTATCTGTTTTGGGGATATTTTAGGTAGAAACCAACAAAAAGAAGTGTGGAATTATTGACTGGTATGGAGGTTCTGGTTTTTGTAAATAAAAACCAGAAAGATGGTGCCTACTAAGATCATACAAAGATCGGGCTGATTTGGTTCCATCCTTCTTCAAAAAATGAAAAAATAAATAAAAGAATATAGTACAGTTTTAAAAATCTAATCAAAACATGACCATCAGTCTTTATCTACTGATCAGAGAAGAAGAGGACTATTAAGCAAGCAGGCAGGAGGTGCAGAGATCCACGACTCCCATGGACGAATGTGTCAACATTAGTCACGATACAAAACTTTTCAACTCGATACCGATACTAAGGAAAATATTCGATACTCGATACCATTTTCGATACCAAAAGGATAAAAAAGACTCCAAAATTCTACAGAAATATTTTCATTACTAAATAAAATACAATAAATAAATACAATAAACAATAAGAACAATATTTTGAGGTTGTATGCTGTGCACAATATTAAGCAAGCTTGATAGAAAACTTATAAAATTAAAATTAAGTGTTCCTTACTTGGCTATGCTTTGCACAGATAACAATGACACTAGCCAAGCCGGTTAAGAAACAAAAATAATTCTCAGCAGCTGCACCTGTTACAGAAAAAACCTCAAAAGTGCACAGAATTATTCAATCACAGTGTTCTGAAAGTGCATTGTCCTCTATTCTGCACTTTAGATGAATGACTGTTTAGGTGCCACTGGTGGTGGCACTGTATCGATACTTTTAAAAAGGAGTATTGTATCCGGATAAAACGTTTCAGTATCGATACTTTTTTGAGTATCGATACTTTTGACAACCCTAGTCAACATGACCAATTTATTGGAAAAAGACATAATGATGTGGGAAAGAAATATCTGATTAGATTCAGATTTAGGCCCCGTCCACACAAAGTCAAAACAAACACGAAACGCTGATATTTTCCAAAACGTTTGCCGTAAAGACGGAGACGTAAAATAAATGTGAGCGTCCACACGAATGCATGAAAACGCTGCAACATGTATGCCAGGCCTGTAAGTGGCGCTGTGGTGCCAAAGCAAAAATAAGCGACGAAATGTTGGGCATGCGCACTAATATTTATACATGGACCCTGCGGGTCCATTTTCGTGGTTAAGTCAAATTCAGGTGCTGAACTATGTCGTCGATATTGCTCTGTTTTTCCTGGAGATATTCCAGAAGAAGAAGATTCTGTTGTAAGCCCGACAGCAGGGTGAGTAGCATTAGCATCAACGGCGCCATTGTTGTTGTGATACTGGTCGCGCATGCGTGTTTAGAGGCGACGCTATGACGCATGCGTGTACAAAAAAAATATGCGGTTAGAGCGTAAAGATGGAAACGTGAAAACGGCGTTTCGAAATCTTCCCACTCTGAAGGCTGAATTAAAAAAAAGATCGTTTACAGACCCCCGAAACGCCGGCTTCGTGTGGATGAGAGGCTGGTTTGGTGAAAAATGTGTGCGTTTAGGCCAGGGTTCGTCTTCGTGTGGACGGGGCCTAAACTTCTCAGCCTCCATTATGCTAATTGTTGAAACAAAGCTGGATGAAAGAAAAGTTCTGGAAGAAAATCTGTTAGATGCTACAAAAGCCTTCCCACTAAGATGGAGGCTCAACTGTAGGGAAGAAGGTAACCCATGGTTTGGATTAACGCCTGTTATGCCTTAATCATAAAAAGGACCTAAATCTAAAGACTAATTTTAGCAAGATTTGAATATTCATAAAAGCTCTTCAGCTACTGTGCTTAAGCTATTTTGCAAAGAAGGATGGACATAAAATCCAATCTCCAGCTGTGCAGCCATGGATGCACATACCCCAAACACTAACATGAATGCATTGGGCTGATGTTTGGATTTTTATTTTCTTTAAATTAAATGCCGTGCATCATTTTTCTTCACAATTGGCGCAGTTCATAAGTAACTACATTAATGCTAGTTGACGTTAACATGGAAAAGATTCAAAATTGTAAAAATCTTTGAATACCTCTGCAAGGTACTGTACATCACTGGGATAGACTCGGTGAGAATCTACATCCTGTTTCTGCTTTTATCCAAACATTTCCTCTAAAAATCATCTTTTCCCAAACAGTCAGGGTAATTATAGTTTATATCAGCATGAATAATTGGCTGTCTGGCTGTATAGACGCTTGTTGGTGTGTGAAAAATGACCCTGATGTCAGTGCCAACAAAAGGGACGAACGAAGGAACGAAAACAGTGATTTGTTCTCAGTCTGCTTTTCTTAATTATTATTATATGCAAAACTGTTTTCTGTCTACTTTTTATAGTGAGATAAATTTCTGTTTTTATCATCAGGTTTTACCATCTAATGGCGTGGGGGGTTCCTCTGGTCATGGCCTCTCTCCCTCTGCTGAAGGGATACTACGGCCCCGCGGGAGCCTGGTGGTGAGTACATCCAACCAACCTTGAGGACGTAGGAGTTTGACTTTTTCCCCCGAGGCCGCGGCTCTGCACTTGTTGTAGCTCTGGGTCCATTTAAATAGAAGTTAAAAATTGGCAATTATCAGTGCATCTGATTGCAGTAAACTATCTGCTGGAAGGGGTGAGAGGAGGAAAGGGGAAAGAAGCCAAGGTGAGGAGGCGGTGGAATGAGAATTGGGACAGAGCCGTAATCTCCAGGCTCCCTCTCTCTTTCCACTCTCCGCTTATTAATAGCTGCAGCTGCACGGCTTTTTCCTCTCTGCAGTCACACAAGTCTCCCCTTCCGCTCTCCCCATAACCCGCTCATCACTCTCGCCTCTCTGTTTCTCTCTCTCTCTTCTCCCCAGCTGGATCACAGACGGTCACGTAGCCTGGAGATTTGGGATGTAAGTAGACCCTTTCAGCGCTGCCATCAAAGCTTTCCTCCAAAGCTGGGGTAGACTGGGAGGAGCAGAGGAAGAGGAGGGCTGTCTCTGCGGGGAAATGTGAAGGGTTACATGTCAGGGGAGCCAACCCCCGCCTACTTAAAGTATGTGCCTCTGCTTGGTCCGATTTAGTGAAGCTGCTACCTTGTGGTTTTAACTGTTCAGGACGGGTATGACGGATTATGCCTGTCTGCTGCTTTCTGCAGCTGGTCCTAAGTCCGCGAATGCCTTGCCAATCCCCGCGTTGCACATCCTGAAACACATGCACCCACGTGCGTGAGGCTCTCCTCTATGAGCCAAGGTAATCGCATTGCTGCTTGCCGCATCAGCAGGGAATCAATCTTTTAAAACAAATAGGCACACACACACACAGAGGCAGACTCACACAGACAAACGGAGAACAACACACAGCTATCAGCCGTGCTAAACGAGCTCGTGTCTCTTTTATCAGCGCTCCTCTGCTCCCCGGCTCTGTCTGGTTTTTCCATGCTGTTGTGGCCCAGGGGGACGCGGCACTCGGAGGATCAGGGAATCTTCATTAGCTCTAATTACATCAAACCAGACTAGAGATTAGAGGCCAAGGCTGCACCCGTCAAGAAGAAGAGGGAGGGGGGGAAAAAAAGCACACTCTGATACACACACCCAGCTAGCGGCATGTGGGAGGGCAAAGTGTGGGGTGTTAAAGGTGAAAAATGAAATAGGTGGGAGGGATGGCATACGGGATACAGTTAGTGAGACAGGGTATTACTCAGCACGAGAGAGGAAGGAAGGGCTGCGGAGCAGGACGGCAGGGAGAGCGAGAGAAATAGATTGTCCTCGTTTCTGCCCCCCCCCCCGCTTCATAGTGCGTCTTCATCAGAGCTCAGCGAAGCGCGCAGACAGAACAGAGGAGACAGGGGAGCTCTGGAGGAGGAGGGTGTGAAAGGGGATGAAAGAGGAAGGTGAATAAAAAGCAGAGGACAGAGTTGTGTCTGTGTGTGTGTGTGTGATGGAGGTGCAGAGTTTCAGGCGCTGAGTCAGCAAATGAAAGCGCCGGAGCTTAGCTGAGTCACCGCTCTTAAAAAGTCCCCTGTTGGTGTGTGTGTCACCAGCGCCTCTGACATGCAGCCGTGAAAAGGACATCCACAAATGAATCTGTTGGACATCGAAATAAAAAAATTAAAATGTATTCATTAGAGATGGAAACATTACCACTTACTTTACCTTCTCAGTTTAAAACATATTACAGTTTCAAGGATTAAAGATGCGGTGATCTTGAACGCCCTCCTATACATTGCTTTATGGTTTGGATGATTCTGTGCAAAGTAGTTTAAAACTCAGATTTGATGGAGAGACTGAGAAGATCACAACTTTCAAGACTTGCAGATATCTGGACTTTGACTAGGCCATTCTAACACCTGGATACGCTCTGATTTAAACCAATCCCTTTGAAGGCCTGCCTGTATACGCTTAGATTAACCTTTATTTCCGCTCTCAAGTCTTTTACATCCTCTAACACAGGGGCTCCTCAAACTTTTAAGCTTTTGACCTATGCAATGGAACCAGGGTTGACTGAGTACCTAAATAATTGGTTAGGTTAACAAAAATTTCTTTAAAATCAATTAACAACAGGTGCAGACTAAGCTCCAAACAGTTCCAGTAACTAAAGTAGTAGGTTTGGTTCATTTTTTTGATGACGCTTTAGGTTCTTTTAGCCCTTTAAGATAGATTTTTATGACTGAGTTCAATTTCTGCAGTATCTACAAAGACCCCATCCTGGTTGGGTCATGACCCCTTTTTGGGACTTTATTCCCTAACACATTGCCTTCCATTTATTTCCCGTATTTAGCAACCATGGCATTTTTCATCTATGACAAAAGTTCCCATTTTAAGAAAAGAGTAAACAAGTCTTAAGCTGTGGTTTTCGTTTTGCAATCTAATCAGTAATTAAATGCGAAGTCAGTTGATTGTTCTTTATTTCATTTTGGTGATTTAAGTAAAGATGGTTAAAAAAGCTTTTTTTATTCTAAAGAACATATAAATGTCTTTATTTCCTTACACATGGTTCAAATAGTATGAATACTTTTGCAGGCTCTGTAGATTGCTGCTTTCAGTGATGCGCAGCCTTCTCTTAACACGTCCTACTTTTGTTTTATGCACGTACACCTGTATTTTTCCCCCAATCAGCTTTCCTTTCACATTTAAGTTGACGAACAGGAGAACTAAAACCCTAGTGGATGCAGTTTAGAAGAAACCTTTTAGTCCTCAGCATGCTCCCATTTCCTGCGTACTGAAACCTTCGGTTAGGCCTCATTCTTCTCTTTAAAGCAGAGCTGGAAGTCGGACCATGCAAGAGACGAGAGATTGGATTTGTTCTCATAGATGATGACCTTTCTGACATGCTCCTGCCATCCGCAGCATCTCTTTGGGCATCTGTATTTCGTGCACGCGTCCACAGTCGATCAGCTGGGGGCACCGTGCTGCTGTTGCTGTGATTCCCACCTTCACCCTGTTTCTAATCACCAAGAACTGCTCTCCTTTTCCTTTCCTTTCTGATTGCGAGCCACAATCCGCCACCTTTTACTCCACCTTTATATCCTCACCTCTATTCATCTCCTCACTTTTATCATCTGCTGCCCACTCTGTGCTTCTGTTACGCTCTCCCTCTCTGTCTCCCTCTTGCTCTCTTCGGGTAGTACTCAGCTGTAGAGCACAGCGGACTCTAATGGCAGATCATTATCATGCTAATTAGAGCACTTTGTAGCTGCCGCCCGTCATTCTCTCCTCCTCACAGCCCCCTACACTATCGTTAAAAAGGCCACCCCCCACCCCCTACCTCCCCTCCAATCCCCTCTTTGCCAATCTGCCTGCCCCCCCCTCGCCTCCCCCCTCCCCTCTCAGGCTCGTCTGTCCATCATTAACGGGACGGGTGCTGGCGTAATTGGACGCTGTTTATTCCAGCGAGCAGGTTATTAAATCACACAGAGGTGACGCTCGCGCAGGTCTCCCTCCTTGAAAGCTTTCATCATTGTCCCGTGGCAGTGTTCTGTCTGCGTGGATGTGCGCGAGCGGCAGCTCTCCGACTTCTTTTCTTTTTTTCATTAGATGGGGAAGGAAAAAAAAAGAAATTCCTACTTTTCCAGAATCCAACTTAAACTCTTGTCAGTCCTTTGCTCCCTTCTTCAAGTTAAAAATTAACTACGAATTTCAGAAAGATTCTTCTACAAAAGGAAGTATTTATATAAGGAACCTTGAGAATACAGACAAATAACAAAGGAAAGAAATGGAAGGGACACAGTGATAGAGTAAGGAAGGACACTATGATAGACAAAGGGAAGACAGAAAGGGATGTCCTAGTATAGGAACGAAGGACACAATGACTAAAGAAAGAAATAGACATGCATTCTCCATGAAGGTAGAGAAAAAATAAAAATGACAGAAGGGAAAGAAGGAAGGATGAATCAAAAGAGGACACTAACTAAGGGATGAAGGAAGGACAAATGAACAAAGGGCAAACACAGGGAAGGACAAATAAAGATGGAAAGATAGAGGAAGGAAAGGACACATTGAAAGATCAATCTAAGGAAGGAAGGAAGGACACAAGCAGGGAAATGAGGAGTATTATAGGGAAGAGGGACACAGAAGAGGAAGCAAGGATCACTAGGAAATTCAAAAGGACAGAAGGAAACTAAAGAAGGATGCATTAATTCAATAGAGAATAAAGTCTGGGAAGGCTAATTTGTTTCCATTTCTGCAGCCACACATAGATAAAAGCAACATGTATGTCCTAGTGTGTTCTGTGTTGGATCAGAAAGCTCTCTTATTCTTCCTTTAAAGAAAAGCTGAAGTGAGTTTCTTACAATCCTCAGGCGTAGGACTTAAGCATGGGCAATCCTTAATTAGGCCAAGGACCCCGTATTTGCCTTTTGAAAGGCTTCTAAATGATGCAGTCTGCAGAACTCATGGCATTGGACTTTTAATCCCAATCCATTTTCCTTTGAAAAAGTCTGTCCACCCATTTATAGGTCAAAGACAAACTCTGTCTCCCTCTTTCTTTTAAATGTCACTTCAACGTTTTTCTCTTTTATAACTTTCAGCAGCCGTCCTCCGCTCTCTACCTTGTAGTTTTACAAGATAGACTTTTCCATTGCCAGCTTCTCACAAGGTGCCGAACGGCGCGGTCGTGACTGCTCCGAGTTACTGTGGCGACCAGGAAACCTGTCTATCAAAGCAAGACAAAGACCTGTTTCGTGAATACAGGGAGAGGCTGAAACTCCTCGCGGCTTACATCACCTCCCAGGAGGTTGCACAACACAAGGCTGCCACTCCAACAAAGCCAGCCTCTCATTTCCTTTGCTCGCCTCTCTCCCTTTCATCCGCTCACAAAATACCTGACATATTATGCACCCACGCCTCCTGTGATTGGCAAACCTTACTCCCTTAGGAACGTGGTATATTTCCAATATTGTCACTCTGCTGGCATAATCCTTTATTCTACCTCTAAATGCTCTGAAACTGTGCACAGTGACACCTAGAGGTGCTTAGTCAGGGCTTTTCCTCTTGTTAATTTACATAATATTTGTCTTCCTTGCAGCGTGTGTTTCTAATGCACGCTGTTTTATTTTAGGCCTCGACATCCGTCTGGGCTTCACCCTTGGCTTTAAATTACACATTTCGGTTGAATTAGTGTTACCATACTTTGTGGACCAGGCTTTTCTATAATTGTAGCCTTGTTTCTGCAGTGTCTCTGCCAGCGTTCCCACACCATGATGCTGCCACTACCATGTTTTACTGTGGGGACAGTGAGGATAATGTATAGCATTAATTTTAGTCCACACATTTGTTTTACATAGAGGTCATATTTTTTTTCTTAACTCCAGTCCTCCACATTTTTCCCATGTCCCCTACAAGGCTTATGACAAGCTTTAAAGGTACATAATCACGTTATATGCCTTTACCAAAAAGACCAAAATCCAGTTAATTATGATCAAATAGGCCTATTGACTTCAAAGATCTATCCTGATGGTGTTTTTATAGACCTTTTTGAGCCCAAATTGGACCCCAGCGCCAGATGGGATGAGCTGACATAAGCAGGGTTGGCTCCATCTACTGGCAGTACCACTGAAACCCGTAGAAAGCTCAATGGCGGCCATTGAAGCAAGTACCAAATAGTTCCTAACCGTGCTGTAAAAGTTGGAGGATAGGGCCTGAAAGCATTGCTAACACCAGTAGCGCTTTAGACAGGGACATCAAAGTGCTTCCTGAGCTTTAGTCCAAAATGTTTTTAAAGCCAGGTGTCATTTTCTTATCACTTCACTGCAAAAATGATCTAAAATCAGTAAAGCATTTCTTAAAATAAGTGTATTTACCCTTAACTTAAAGTAAGTGAAAGTGGGTAATTGGGATGATGTGCCAATAGAATGAGTATTTCTATTCTTAAAATAAGATAATTGGATATTATGCACTTGAAATAAGAGACTGCAGTAGTTTTTCCAAGTGTCTCACTTACATGGCAAATTCAAGAAAAATTATTATTATTATTTAAGAAAAATTGACCTACCGGTACTTGGATTTAAATGTTTTGCAGATGTCAAACTAAATCCAAACAACATAGAACTTTTAGTAATATGAAGCAGTTTAAGGGGTGTGAATACTTTTGCACTCCATTGTGTATCTTACTAAATTCACGTTTTAGTTATCTATTGTTTTTGATGGAAAAGGAATAAACTTCCAGCCTCCATTTGCTCCGTTTTCGCCACACTGAGCTTCTAATAAAGATCAGTTTTGCTCTAAGCCTACGTGCCCCGCTCTGTTCAGCACCAGAGGGGTTTTTCTATCGTTTGGTGCTGACCAAGTGGTTTCCTGCAAGAAGTTGAACGTTTTTGCTGAAAACAGCTGCTTGCTGCAGCAGTGAAATGTGGACATGCTGACCACGGAGCAAACCATGAAAGTTTTCTTTTGGTCTGTTAGTGCTGATTGATCTCTTTTATAAGATTTTTGTCCGGATTGCCAAGATCAAAATTAAAGCATTGTGTTTCAAGTTTAAAACAGAGGGGAAACCATTGTCCAGTAATTAAAACCAAAACACATCAAATAATACATTGTATTGTAAAACAATAGTATTTTAACATGGTGCCCATTAAAGTCAGAACGGAGGCCAAAGAAGTGAAATCTCAAAGCAGGAGATAATTTGGGGTTTCCTTTGCTCACTTTATTCTTTGTTTTTGTTCTTTGTAGATGGTACGTGCCTCTCTTCACCCTCATCTTCCTCATGATCTGCTGCTATGCCAGAATCATCTGTGTGGCCAATAAAAGAGTAAGTGCTTAGCATTTATAGAGGGTAACGTTCAGCCGACATTCAGTAAACCAAAACCTTTTTTTAGGGTGGAAGGAATCAAAGTTTTATTTTCTTTCTGCCTTGGCTTTTAACCTGGACATTCCTGCAGTGGTGCCAAAAAGGTGACAAACTGGCTCTCCTGGAGACAAAAATAGCTCAGAGTGTAAAAACAAGCCAACACTTAAAATACAGTAGCTCCTTTGAGCGTCTTTATTTGGAGGCAGAAATGAATGAAGACCTGTCAGTCAGAGCTGCACCCGGCTGTCAAACATGGTTTCATGCCATTAATTACCTTAGATAAAGCAAAATTATGTATATTTTCTTTCCTTCTCTTTAAATTCTTTTGAACAAGTAGATAAAAAATGTTGCGGTTAGCTTAGGCCGGGAGTTGGTGGCTCTTCAGCTTCTCCACAAACCCTAACGGATTATGTGGTATCTTGAAACAGGAAGGTCAGTTTTAGCAGTTCCTCTGTTTAAAGAGCTGCTTAGAGATACTAGATTGCACCATTAGCACAGACAGTAGGGCTATTTATATCACTATCCTCTAAACTATGGGATGTATTAATGGTAATATAAAAAGGACTTCATAGGAGTTGTTCTGCTCTTGAAAGTATTGCCTTAAAGGTTTAAAGGGATCATAGAATGCAAAACCCTGTTTCCATTTAACTGGAAGTTTTTTGCTTTTCACAAATTGAATATAATCTGAATTTCAGCTGAAACAAATTAAAATGTTTTCCTGAAGGGTTCGTAACCCTATGAACTTTTATAATTTTTTTGTCATATTGAAGTACAGAAAAAATGCGTTTTAATTCAGATTTTCTGTCATTTCCATTCAAAAAATGGTGTATTGTTTCAGATTAAATGAAACAGACACATAATTATGTATTTTGCAAAATCTAAAATATGTGCTTGCATTTTTACTTTGACCCTTTTTTTCTGCTACCCCTAAATACACAATTGTTGTGCAATCACCTGCCTTTAAGCTTCTTGTTGGATAGAGCTTAGGACATGATTGCAGTTGTATTCTTTTCATTCATAGTGTGAAACCATGCACAACTTTCCTACGGAAGTGGATTAGGGCCACTGGGAAAAAAAACAATTACCGGTAACTGATTTTTTAATTTTATTTCAGTTTAGTATGGGAAAAAGTCAGAATTCTGACTTTTTTCTCAAAATTCTGACTTTTTTCTCAAAATTCTGACTTTAATCTCAGAATTCTGACTTTTTTCTCAGAATTCTGACTTTAATCTCAGAATTTTGGCTTTAATCTCAAAAATCTGACTTTAATCTAAGAATTATGACTTTTTTATTCTCAGAATTCAGTCAGAATTCTGAAAAAAAATTTAATTTAAAAGTCAGATTTTTAAATTTGATTTCAGTTTAGTATGGGGAAAAAGTCAGACTTTTTTTCTCAGAATTCTGACTTTTTTTCTTAGAATTCTGACTTTAATCTCAGAATTCTGGCTTTAATCTCAAAATTCTGACTTTATTCTAAGAATTCTGAATTTTGTTATCAAAATTCAGTCAGAATTCTGACTTTTTTCTCAGAATTCTGGCTTTAATCTCAAAATTCTGACTTTATTCTAAGAATTCTGAATTTTGTTATTATCAGAATTCAGTCAGAATTCTGAGGAAAAAAAATAAACTTTAAAAGTCAGAACTCTGAGATTAAAGTCAGAATTCTGACTTTTTCCACATAGTAAATTTAAAAATCAGTTTACTTTTTTTTTTTTTTTCCCCAGTGGCCCTAATCCTCTTCCGTAATTTCCTACCACTGCACATTAATGCAGTATTTTGTGTTGGTCCATTGAGTTAAATTTAAAAAAAAAATCAAATAAAGCAATGTAGCTCTTTGTGGCAAAATTATGAAAACATTGATACTAAATTTAGACATGGTACTAGGCATATTTGTGGATGAATATATGATAAGGAAAATTGTAATCTTTATAATTTATTTATAATTTAGGTTGTATAAAGTTGGGATCATTATTATTTCCGTTCGGTTATAGAACCAGATCATGAACCTATTTACCTCCTTGTTGATCTGCTTTACAATCTGGCTCATAGCTCTGCATGAGTTTCCATTAGAAAGGTGCAGCATGAGTCAGAAGGCACCTTTACACAAAATTCATAAAAACCGCCATTACCTATTCCAACAAAGCACCACTGCACATGAAGCTAACGGTCAAATAGGATTAATTTTGCTTTTATTTAATGTTCTCGTTAATGTTACCAACCAAGTACAAAAGAAAAAGAGAAGGAAGCTAAAAACCTCATAAGCCTCACGGAGGCCTTTCATTATAAATGTTGGCATTCTTTCTACGGGCGGCGGCAGAGTGAGAGATTTCGCCGATAGCCAGGTAGCAAGACGACGACAACAGAGAACGACAGCAGGTAGCTGAGGGGCAGGGGAAGAAAAAAAAAAAAAGGCTACGCAGCCCTTTATCATGGCTGTGATAACGAGGGGGGAATGAATGTAGCCGAACGCGGCTGCAGCTCATAACTCATTCAGCTCACAGCTTTCAGCTATCGCTCCCTCTTCCTCTTGTCTCTGCATCTGTCTTCCACCTTCCTCATTTCCCCTTTTTTTTTTTATTCATTCTCTCTATGACTGTACTCCCACATGTTCTCTCCATGCCACCATTTTGCTTTCTCTATCATATTTATGAAGAGCTCAAGCCTTATCTTTTTTTCAGCTGGAGGCTGTCTCACTTAAAAGAACTTTACAGGCTTTGAAAGCGGGGTAGGTGGCGACTCACCGTAGAAAAGGATAAAGCAGAGGGGAGGCGGCATGCTGGCTGGACACTGAGGTTTTCACACCTTCCAGACAAAATGATAAGAGAGACTGGCAGACTTAAAAGACCTTGCAGATCAGTGTTCTTATAACTTGTTTTTAGTGTTTTTTTTCTTAAATAAAGTAGTTTGTGATGCTGCGTGACTCTGTGAGCCCGTCCTAACAGAAGGACCTTTAAAGCTAATGAGTCATAAACACACAGAGGTTTGCAAAACATGGGGGCATGATAAGGAGGCAATTTGCATATATCCTACAGAACTGTCCACTCCTGAACTTTTTTTACTACTGTAAACCTCTTTTTTTGTTTTTTTTATGTCTCTACTGTGTTTTCATGTAGGCCTGGTTTCTTCAGGCTGGTTCTCTCTCTATGCATTATACCCCATTTACACTACCCTTGAAAAATCGTGCCGAGACCGGTCCGAGCTCAGTAACTGAGATGACTTATCGTGTGTAAATGGAAAGTAAACTGAACTGAACCGAGCTAGACGCAACCGAACCGCGCTAACTGCAGACCAGTTCCAGAGGTGGGCTCGGCTCGGTTTTTCCCTGGCTCGGTTCTCTGATAACAAGAGCGCATGAGCAGAACGCGTCATCTCCGTCTGGCTGCACATCCCGATTTACACTCCATTCCAGTAGTTGGCGGTAATGCCACTCCGGAAGTTGCTTGCCAACCAACTCAAAACAGAAGAAGAAGAACAACTATAAACAACAATCGAAATCTTCTCCACGCAACATTTTGATTTGCTTGATTCCGTCCATCTTCTTCTTCTTGTGTTTTATGGCGGTTGGTAAACAACTTTTGGTGCATTACCGCCACCATCTGCTTGATTTCCTCCTTCAATACTGGCAGTAATACCGCAAATCGTCACTAGGAGGCGGGGAGTCGAGGAACCGAGATAGCGTGATGTGTAAACGGTTGTCAGAACCGAGCTCGGCCTGGTTAACTGATCCGAGCTCGGACCGGTCTCGGCATGGATCGGTTTTTCAAGGGTAGCGTAAATGGGGGAATATTTTGCTCAAATATGTAGCAGTTCGAGCTGCTGGTCTTTGGGGTGTGTCTTTATCAGCTTTTCACATTTAAACATGCAAAGCTGCTCCATTGTATCTCCGGATCTTAGCTTAGACTTGTCCTGCTGGAAGGTGAACCTTTTCATCAACCTTAAATATTTTCCTGATTGCCTCAGGGTTTGGCCCATTGTTAGCTGAGTCCATCTTCCTATTGACTCCACCCCCAAAGCATAATGCTGCCACCACCATTTTTGAAAGTGGGTGTGGTTTGTTCAGGGTCCTCGTTTTTATGTCCTCTGTTGCAGTTTGGATGTAGTTCAAAAAGTTCAACTGTAACTTCACACGACCAGAGCAACTTTTTTCTTTTTCAACGTTAGCTGTTTCCCTCTTTAGACCTTTTGGGAAACTGCAGATAAAAATGATTTGTGTCTTTCCTTCAACAGTTTTGCAGCCCTTCTTAAGAGGGCTTAGTTGGGGTGTACAGACTAATGGTTCCTATGTGGACAGGTTACCCACTCTGGACTATGAATCTCTCCATCTCCTCCAGACTTACTTTGCCCTTGTTGTTTTTATTTAAACAATGCCCTTTAGGTATGAATTGTAGGGTTTTTGTGCATCAAAATGGTAAGTTTAGGGGTGTGATTACTTTTGCAAGGTATTGGGCCAAAATGTTCACTTCCCAGGATCGGCTTTTACAGAGGAACCATGAGCGAAAACCCGTTTGCACACAGGAGACCTGGCCAAGGCTTAATGATATTGCCAGTTATTATCAGCGTTTGTTGATTTTGATGGATGGTGCTGCTCAGCTGGACAACAGAGGGCTGCTGTGGAACAGCTTCAGTCTAATGACCAAATGGCTGCCACCCCCACCCCCCCGCACACACAAACACACCACAGTCACACACAGATTTACAATGATAACCACGTCAGCACGGAGAAACCATGGCAACATTGAGTTAATAAATAGCAGAACAGAGGAGCTTTTAGTGCATACTGCTCATGGTGCTGTTTTGTGTATGCGTTTGAGGAGCTCGGGTTCCATCTTGGGTTAGATAAACCCCCCCCCGACTTCCAGTCACTGCCTCCCCACCCCCTCCATCTCAACCATTACAAATCCCGGGTTTGTGCGCGGCCTCCTCGGGTGTTGCGTGTGGACGCGCACGCCTGTTGACATTTCCCCTCCACATTTTCTCTAGCGAGGACACAGAGCAAGAGCCAGGAGTATTCCCACGTTCTTTTGCCGAGGTCCCACATCTGCAATGTCGGCCCCTTTTTACTAACATATTCTTGTGTCTCTGTGCCCCCCCTTTGCCTTGTTTTCCTCTTCCCTTGTTATAGCATGTGTGCGCTGGAGCTGATCCGTTTTAGTGAGATGCTGGGAGCTGTTTAAGTGCTCCCCTCTGCCTCTAAGCTCCGCTCTCTGCTGTGAATTGGGCAATTTGGCAGGGCCGTGCAAGAGGGCGGAGGGATTTTGCATTGCCGTGATATTTGTTCCAGCTTGTCACCACAGGCACTGACCTCTAAACATTCCTCTCTAGGAAGAAAATAACAGAATTCCCTGCATTTCTGCTCTGATAATTCTCTCTCACCATTATGTGTATACAGATGCAGTCCTGGTGGGGAACCTTCAACCCCGAGCGAGAGAGACGAAAGGTAGAGCTCCAGCCGGCACATTTCAACACACATTTATGCATGCGCGCCGGACGTGAGGATTAGAGATTCTGCGGGATTAGTGCTCACCCTCTCGCCAGGCAGGTGTCAAGCACAGCAGGGAGCAATTTGACCCCTTGACATTATACCCCTGGGAGTGCTTGTGCATGTGTATATGCACGTGTAGTTTTGCTCACAACGAGACCCTTTGGGAAATGCCAGGGATCAAAGGAGCAAAGCAAGAAGTGGGCACATGTAAATTATGGCAAGTTGTATCAGATGGAGCGAAGAAGCAGGAATGAAAGGTGGTGCATTTTATTCAGTCAGGATTTACCGGAAGTTACTGGAGTTTATCAGACATGTTAAACATCCATCCATCCATCCATCCATCTACCTATTTACCAATCCCATCCATCCATCCATCCATCCATCTACCTATCCATTCATCCACCCATCCATCCATCCATCCATCCATCTACCTATCCATTCATCCACCCATTCATTCATCCATCCATCCATCTACCCATTTACCAATCCCGTCCATCCATCCATCCATCCATCTACCTATTTACCAATCCCATCCATCCATCCATCTACCTATCCATTCATCCACCCATTCATCCATCCATCCATCCATCCATCCATCCATCCATCCATCTACCTATTTACCAATCCCATCCATCCATCCATCCATCCATCCATCCATCTACCTATTTACCCATCCATCCATCCATCCATCCATCCATCTACCTATTTACCCATCCATCCATCCATCCATCCATCCATCTACCTATTTACCCATCCATCCATCCATCCATCCATCCATCCATCCATCTACCTATTTACCCATCCATCCATCCATCCATCCATCTACCTATCCATCCATCCATCTACCTATTTACCAATCCCACCAATCCATCCATCCATCCATCTACCTATTTACCAATCCCACCAATCCATCCATCCATCCATCCATCCATCCATCCATCCATCCACCTATCCATTCATCCATCCATCCATCCATCCATCCATCTACCTATTTACCAATCCCACCAATCCATCCATCCATCCATCACTCCACCTATCCATCCATCCATCACTCCACCTATCCATCCATCCATCACTCCACCTATCCATCCATCCATCCATCCATCCATCCATCCATCCATCCATCCATCCATCCATCCATCCATCCATCCATCCATCCATCCATCCATCCATCCATCCATCCATCCATCCATCCATCCAACCAACCAACCAACCAACCAACCAACCAACCAACCATCCATCCATCCATCCATCCATCCATCCATCCATCCATCCATCCATCCATCCATCCATCCATCCATCCATCCATCCATCCATCCATCCATCCATCCATCCATCCATCCATCCATCCATCCATCCATCCATCCATCCATCCATCCATCCATCCATCCATCCATCCATCCATCCATCCATCCATCCATCCATCCATCCATCCATCCATCCATCCATCCATCCATCCATCCCTCCCTCCCTCCCTCCCTCCCTCCCTCCCTCCCAAGATCATGTTTGTAAAAATGTGTAATTTTTAGATAAAAACCCTAAAAATGGTTGTTGGACTGTGAACTGCTTGAAGTTTTTTTTTCTCATCTAGTCAACTCAACCACAAGTATGGTTGAATAAAAAAAAAAAAAAAGATTCTTCAGCTTAGATTTTAAATTATTTTCGTACAGAGTAAGTCCCAAAGTTGGTAAAAAAGACAATATGAAAATACTGTATTGCTTTCCTAATTGGCTGTGGAATAGGGCTTGTCAATTAATTGCATTTTTAGTATAATCACAATTTAGCAAAATTTCATTTTCAAATCACAGAGACACTCAATTTCAGTCACATTACATTTAAGTAGAGTAAGACACTGAATTTACCCTCCAGCCCTTTAGGTGGCAGTAATAAACTTAAAGTGGGTTTGCCACCAGAAAGCAGGAACGATAGAGCTGCAGCAAGCACACAGATCAATGCATTATAGTACGGCTGCAAGTAATAGATAATGTTGATTATTTTTTCCATCGATTAATACGTGGATGGTAAAAAGTTCCTTATAGAAGAGTTTACTCAGAATTTCAACAAACTGGTGCTAATACTGTGCCCTTTGAACATTTCTGAATAGAACATATTAATGGACAAGAAAGCTTTTAATCTTAAATCCAAAGTGTTTAGATTTTTTTTTTTTTTACAATTTTCGTATAAAAAAAACTGATCTTAGTGGGTTGCTAAGGCTTGTTTAAAAGAGAATTCCGTTTTTTTACACTTTAAGCCCATTTTCTGTAGTGTCCAGGATGAAATCGAATGATCGACACCAAAAGTTTGACAATTGCTCCTGTCTCTGCTTTTTGGCTCATTTAGAATCCACCCCTAGCTGCTTCATAATGGCTGCCATAGTGCATGTCCAATAATGTCCTTAAAACAACCTTAAACGTTCTTTTTTTAAAATATGCTACTCACCGTGTCGTCAGCGCTGTTCAATGACGTTCCAAAAAAAGTTTTGTGAAGAAAAAACGTTCCTGTAGTGTTTTATTTAGCATTTTGTAAATCCCATTGAGTTCTGTTGGAATAGTCAATATTCCCCTGCCACCGGAAACGGAAATGGGGCCTGTTTACACAGTTGTAGTCTTTTCGCTTCACTCTGTGTACTCCGACGTCGAGAATCAAGAATCCACCTTTCGTATTCCATTTTCAGAGTTTTTTAAAGTGTTTAACAGAGACGTTAGCACCTCGACGTCGGAGTACACAGAGTGAAGCGAAAAGACTACAACTGTGTAAACAGGCCCAATTTCCGTTTCCGGTGGCAGGGGAATATTGACTATTCAGACAGAACTCAATGGGATTTACAAAATGCTAAATAAAACACTACAGGAACGTTTTTTCTTCACAAAACTTTTTTTGGAACGTCATTGAACAGCGCTGACGACACGGTGAGTAGCATATTTTAAAAGAAGAATGTTTAAGGTTGTTTTAAGGACATTATTGGACATGCACTATGGCAGCCATTATGAAGCAGCCAGGGGTGGATTCTAAAAGCAGAGACAGGAGCAATTGTCAAACTTTTGGTGTCGATCATTCGATTTCATCCTGGACACTACAGAAAATGGGCTTAAAGTGTAAAAAACCGGAATTCTCCTTTAAGGGCTTGTTTAAGAGTCTTGATTGATTGATGAACTTAATTGTCTCACAATGGAGAAATTTACTCCACTACATTTACTTTATACGGAAGTTAACAACTGATCATTTACTAAATTAAAGATTATTTCAACAATGGATTAATCCGATTGTTTCAGCTCTTCGTGATGCAGAAGTAAGAACATTTTTCTCACAAATGATACAGTAAAACAATGAACTGTGGACAACCAAGCTTTCAAGGGCATGAAAAAACTGAAACCTTGAGGTGAAACATCTACATGCTTTTGATTAGAGCAGAGGAAAACTGCATTTAAATACTAAGATTGGTTGAAAATAATTATCTAGGGTCATTTGGTAACTCAAACTCCTTCTATTAAGGGTTATCACCCTTTTATAAGCTCAGAGCTGCTTCATGGGTACTACGAAGTCACATTAAGGGCTATCAATACCAATCTATACATTTTATTTATAATAAACATATTTATTATGTTTCTTTTAAACAATCTCATTTTAAAATCTCTGTAGATGGAAGTTCTATCAACAAAGACAAGTAACAAATGAAAAAAAAAAGCTTTAGATGCAACTGACTGGTGAGCTGTGCTATTTTTAGAGGAGGCTGGAGGGTGCATCATGTGGTCCTTCTGGGCGCCATGCTGACCCCTGCTATAGATGCCACTCTAATACCTTGTAGAAATGGTTCATTCTTATGCACAGTCCAATAAAAGCCTCCTCCATTGCAGTGCATGGCTGACATAAAGTTATCAGCCTAAAAGCTGCCTACACTCCCTTTTTTTCCACCCCTCCTCTTTCTCAGCTCAGTCATCTGCACCCTGCAGGGCCAGGTGAGCAGGGGGGGTGAAGGTTATGTAGATGCTGCCCCTAAGTGGCAGGGATAATTACTGCACACTGAACCGGCGTAACCCTCACGGCATCCTGTGTGTGTGTGTGAGAGCGGGTGTGTATTTGTGACAGCACCACACACACACTCATGCTCCTCATGTGGGCTAATTGCTATGTGTAGCACAGAGTGTAAATAAGTCAGCAGTGGTTTTTATCACACTCTTTCCTCATATTTCTCCTTCCCAGTTGCTCTCCTCATTTCCATCTTTTTCTTCCCTCCCTGCCTTTTGCTCTGCTCTCTGTCAGTCTCTCTCTTTTTCTCTCCCTCAATTTTTTTCTCCCCCCCTCTTGCCGTCTGTCTCTCTCTCTCAGTCTTGTACTCATACGCAGCATGAATAAAGCAGCGAGCCAGGTTCATGGCCATGAATATTTATGAGAGTTTATGCGCGCGCTGCGATGCTTTAAAACAACAACAACAGCCTCCCAGATTGCTCTTGCCATGCCAGCGAGCTGCGGTTCATGTGTGTCACGAGTGTGCGAGTGTGTAGCAGCAGGTGTAAACTACAGAAAGCGATTCCTGCGGGTTGTCTAAAGACCGCCGGCTCTGGCTCTTGCCTTTAACCCTCTCTCCCTCCCCCCTCCCTTCTGCTCGCACACGTCGTTTCCCGAGTTTGTCATTCTTTATTCCGCTCGCTGGCACTCTGTGGCAGCGACCCTCTCTCTCTTTCCGCTATCGCTGTCTATGAACGTGCTTCTTTGCAGAGCAATGACGTACATTACTGATGCTGGCAGCTGTCAGGGCCATAAGTCAGATGGTTGTGACCTATCTGTGCGAGTGTGCGTCTGGAGCTGCTCGTCGGCAGTCAGGCTTAAAGATGCCTTTCGCACACTTCCAAGCGCCATGAAGTCTCAAAAAAAGCACAGGTCACGGAGAACGTATTCAAAGAGAGCTTTTTAATTCATCAAACCACACACACCTTCAAGCACATTTGCACACGCAA